GCTAGGAGATGTTAACTACCTCGCCTGGTGTACAGGAGGTCGTGGGTTCGATCCCGACCCTGACGATGGCTGCTGTATATTTGGAGTTTTCGTGTCTTTCTCTCATCATCATCACGGTGGCTAGGAGATGTTGACTACCTCGCCTGGTGTACAGGAGGTCGTGGGTTCGATCCCGACCCTGACGCCTGCTGTGTATTTGGAGTTTGAGTCTCTCTCATCATCATCACGGTGGCTATGAGATGTTGACTACCTCGCCTGGTATACAGGAGGTCGTGGGCTCGATCCCGACCCTGACGCCTGCTGCTGTATATTTAAAATTTGCGTGTCTCTCTCTCCAGCGTGGTCGCGTGGATTTTTCTCCTGGTCCTCCGTTTTTGATCCCCTCCGCAAATGTATAAACAAGCGCTTGAGAGTTACTTCGCTGCCGTGAATTTCCGCACGTTTGACGATGAGAAGCCACTTCCGTTGAGCTGTCATTCGTGATGGTCAGGTCGCTTCTGAAAAGAAAATCGGACATCGTAGCCTGAGCAGTGGGCTCTTACCTGGTAGGAAAATAAAATAATTAAATTTCGATTTCAAGCTTTCGTGACTGCAGAAATGCATCGTCTTGGTTCTTTCGGTAAAGTCACGTAGAAGGGAAATAATAAAATAATAAAAATTTTACATTATAAAATACAATTCTCACGACGTTTCGGCCACAACGCAAGCAGCCGTCCTCAGGTGGAGAACAGGTCTGTCATTCCGACAGACCTGTTCTTCACCTGAGGACGGCTGCTGTCTTTCCGACAGACCTGTTCTTCACCTGAGGACGGCTGCTTGCGTTGTGGCCGAAACGTCGTGAGAATTGTATTTTATTATGTTGGAAGGAGAGAGGCAGGAGAGTGTGTGGAGGAGAGTAGAGTGAGATGAGAGGGGAGAGTGCGTGGAGGGGAGCGGAGTGAGATGAGAGCGGAGAGGTAGGAGAGTGCGTGGAGGGGAGTGGAGTGAGATGAGAGGGGAGAGGCAGGAGAGTGCGTGGAGGGGAGTGGAGTGAGATGAGAGGGGAGAGGCAGGAGAGTGCATGGAGGGGAGTGGAGTGAGATGAGAGGGGAGAGGCAGGAGAGTGCATGGAGGGGAGTGGAGTGAGATGAGAGGGGAGAGGCAGGAGAGTGTGTGGAGGGGAGTAGAGTGAGATGAGAGTGGAGAGGTAGGAGAGTGCGTGGAGGGGAGTAGAGTGAGATGAGAGTGGAGAGGTAGGAGAGTGCGTGGAGGGGAGTAGAGTGAGATGAGAGGCGAGAGGTAGGAGAGTGTGTGGAGGTAGTGGAGTGAGATGAGAGGGGAGAGGTAGGAGAGTGCGTGGAGGGGAGTAGAGTGAGATGAGAGGGGAGAGGCAGGAGAGTGCGTGGAGGGGAGTAGAGTGAGATGAGAAGGGAGAGGCAGGAGAGTGCGTGGAGGGGAGTAGAGTGAGATGAGAGGGGAGAGGCAGGAGAGTGCGTGGAGGGGAGGGGTGTGAGATGAGAGGGGAGAGGTAGGAGAGTGCGTGGAGTGAGATGAGAGGTAGGAGATTGTGTGGAGGGGAGTAGAGTGAGATGAGAGGAGAGAGGTAGGAGAAAGCGTGGTGTGAGATGGGAGGGGAGAGGCAGGAGAGTGCGTGGAGGGGAGTGGAGTGAGATGAGAGGGGAGAGGCAGGAGAGTGCATGGAGGGGAGTGGAGTGAGATGAGAGGGGAGAGGTAGAAGAGTGCGTGGAGGGGAGTAGAGTGAGATGAGAGGGGAGAGGTAGAAGAGTGCGTGGAGGGGAGTAGAGTGAGATGAGAGGGGAGAGGCAGGAGAGTGCGTGGAGGGGAGGGGTGTGAGATGAGAGGGGAGAGGTAGGAGAGTGCGTGGAGGTAGTGGAGTGAGATGAGAGGGGAGAGGTAGGAGAGTGCGTGGAGGGGAGTGGAGTGAGATGAGAGGGGAGAGGTAGGAGAGTGCGTGGAGGGGAGTAGAGTGAGATGAGAGGGGAGAGGCAGGAGAGTGCGTGGAGGGGAGTAGAGTGAGATGAGAGGGGAGAGGTAGGAGAGTGCGTGGAGGGGAGTGGAGTGAGATGAGAGGGGAGAGGCAGGAGAGTGCATGGAGGGGAGTGGAGTGAGATGAGAGGGGAGAGGTAGGAGAGTGTGTGGAGGGGAGTAGAGTGAGATGAGAGGGGAGAGGTAGGAGAGTGCGTGGAGGGGAGTGGAGTGAGATGAGAGGGGAGAGGCAGGAGAGTGCGTGGAGGGGAGTAGAGTGAGATGAGAGGGGAGAGGCAGGAGAGTGTGTGGAGGTAGTGGAGTGAGATGAGAGGGGAGAGGTAGGAGAGTACGTGGAGGGGAGTAGAGTGAGATGAGAGTGGAGAGGTAGGAGAGTACGTGGAGGGGAGTAGAGTGAGATGAGAGTGGAGAGGTAGGAGAGTGTGTGGAGGGGAGTGGAGTGAGATGAGAGTGGAGAGGTAGGAGAGTACGTGGAGGGGAGTAGAGTGAGATGAGAGTGGAGAGGTAGGAGAGTGTGTGGAGGGGAGTGGAGTGAGATGAGAGTGGAGAGGTAGGAGAGTGTGTGGAGGGGAGTAGAGTGAGATGAGAGGGGAGAGGTAGGAGAGTGCGTGGAGGGGAGTGGAGTGAGATGAGAGTGGAGAGGTAGGAGAGTACGTGGAGGGGAGTAGAGTGAGATGAGAGGCGAGAGGTAGGAGAGTGTGTGGAGGTAGTGGAGTGAGATGAGAGGGGAGAGGTAGGAGAGTGCGTGGAGGGGAGTGGAGTGAGATGAGAGGGGAGAGGCAGGAGAGTGCGTGGAGGGGAGTGGAGTGAGATGAGAGGGGAGAGGCAGGAGAGTGCGTGGAGGGGAGTAGAGTGAGATGAGAAGGGAGAGGCAGGAGAGTGCGTGGAGGGGAGTAGAGTGAGATGAGAGGGGAGAGGCAGGAGAGTGCGTGGAGGGGAGGGGTGTGAGATGAGAGGGGAGAGGCAGGAGAGTGCGTGGAGGGGAGTGGAGTGAGATGAGAGGGGAGAGGCAGGAGAGTGCGTGGAGGGGAGTAGAGTGAGATGAGAAGGGAGAGGCAGGAGAGTGCGTGGAGGGGAGTAGAGTGAGATGAGAAGGGAGAGGCAGGAGAGTGCGTGGAGGGGAGTAGAGTGAGATGAGAGGGGAGAGGCAGGAGAGTGCGTGGAGGGGAGGGGTGTGAGATGAGAGGGGAGAGGTAGGAGAGTGCGTGGAGTGAGATGAGAGGTAGGAGATTGTGTGGAGGGGAGTAGAGTGAGATGAGAGGAGAGAGGTAGGAGAAAGCGTGGTGTGAGATGGGAGGGGAGAGGTCGGAGAGTGCGTGGAGGGGAGTGGAGTGAGATGAGAGGGGAGAGGCAGGAGAGTGCGTGGAGGGGAGTGGAGTGAGATGAGTGTGGATTGAGATGAGAGGGGAGAGGTAGAAGAGTGCGTGGAGGGGAGTGGAGTGAGATGAGAGCGGGGGCAGCAGAGTGCGTAACTCCGCCGCTAATAGTGCATCATCCTGTGTCTGATAAAAATCACGTCTCAGTAAATAATGCTGAGGCTCCACTTCAAATCGAGCTCGTTATCCGCATTAAGCGAACGGCTTTGATGTGCCCTGCGTAGAGGGTTCGTCACATGACGATCAGCACACCGTTCCACAAGGCTCAGAGCTGGAACTCAGCCAAAGTTAAATGAAGAATCTCATTTTATGTGAAGGTGGGCGGGAGTGGGGGGGGGGAAATTTCGCGTGCAAGTTGTTGGTGACCGGACCGAGACAGTTTAATCAAAACTCAGTCTATGCATATCTGTGTGTTTTTATGTAAGTCTATGGGTCTTTGTGTGAGTCTATGGGTTTCTGTGTGAGCCTGTGGGTTTTTATGTAAGTCTATGGGTCTCTGTGTGAGTCTATGGGTCTCTGTGTGAGTCTATGTGTCTCTGTGTGAGTCTATGGGTCTTTGTGTAAGTCTATGGGTCTCTGTGTGAGTCTATGGGTCTCTGTGTGAGTCTATGGGTCTCTGTGTGAGTCTATGGGTCTCTGTGTGAGTCTATGGGTCTCTGTGTGAGTCTATCGGTCTCTGTGCGAGTCTATGGGTCTCTGTGTGAATCTATGGGTCTCTATGTGAGTCTATGTGTCTCTGTGTGAGTCTATGGGTCTCTGTGTGAGTCTATGGGTCTCTGTGTGAGTCTATGGGTCTCTGTGCGAGTCTATGGGTCTCTGTGTGAGTCTATGGGTCTCTATGTGAGTCTATGTGTCTCTGTGTGAGTCTATGGGTCTCGGTGTGAGTCTATGGGTCTCTGTGTGAGTCTATGAGTCTCTGTGTGAGTCTATGTGTCTCTGTGTGAGTCTATTGGTCTCTGTGTGAGTATATGAGTCTCTGTGTGAGTCTATGGGTGTCTGTGTGAGTCTATGGGTCTCTGTGTGAGTCTATGGGTCTCTGTGTGAGTCTATGTCTCTCTGTGTGAGTCTATGGGTCTCTGTGTGAGTCTATGGGCCTCTGTGTAAGTCTATGGGTCTCTATGTGAGTCTATGGGTCTCTGTGTGAGTCTATGGGTCTCTGTGTGAGTTTATGGGTCTTTGTGTGAGTCTATGGGCCTCTGTGTAAGTCTATGGGTCTCTATGTGAGTCTATGGGTCTCTGTGTGAGTCTATGGGTCTCTGTGTGAGTCTATGGGCCTCTGTGTGAGTCGATGGGTCTCTGTGTGAGTCTATGGGTCTCTGTGTGAGTCTATGTGTCTCTGTGTGAGTCTATGGTTTTCTGTGTGAGTCTATGGGTCTCTGTGTGAGTCTATGGGTTTCTGTGTGAGTCTATGGGTCTCTGTGTGAGTCTATGTGTCTCTGTGTGGGTCTACGGGTCTCTGTGTTAAGACAGTCTGACGCCACGTGTACAATAATTGCCTTTTGACGTGCGCGCTACGTAGGTTACCTGCCACGCACGGAATTCGAATCACTCGTCATTTGCCGTCGTGCATGTTTGTGCGTTGAACTTCTTTCGCACCGTACGTAGCTAATCAACACGGTGTCCCCTGTCTGTCGCCAGCCTCGGGAATTGCCAATCAACTCCCACGGAGACTTCAAGCGACACATCCAGTGGCACCAACTAATTCTTCACCAGCAGCAGCAGCAGCGGCTACAGCAGCAGCTACAGCTGCAGCAGCAGCTCCAGCAGTAGCAGCAGCAACTACATCAGCAGCAGCAACAGCAGCAGCAATTATAGCAGCAGCAGCTCCAGCAGCAGCAGCAGCAACTACATCAGCAGCAGCAACTACAGCTACATCAGCAACAGCAGGAGCAGCAGCAACAGCAGCAGCAGCAACAGCAGCAGCAACTACATCAGCAGCAGCTACATCAGCTACAGCAGCAGCTACATCATCAGCTACAGCAGCAGCAGCTACATCATCAGCTACATCATCATCAGCAGCAGCAACAGCAGCAGCTACATCAGCTACATCAGCAGCATCATCAGCAGCAGCTACATCAGCAGCAGCAGCAGTTACATCAGCAGCAGCTATAGCACCATGCCGGGCCCAATGCGGTCACAGCCACCGGCCAAGGTGGCCCCAGGTCGTGTCACGGCCACTCCGACTGTCACCAAGTCACCGGCTGCGGCTGCCCCAGCGGCTGCTGCTGTGACCCCCCCTGCCAAGGCGGCGTCTGTGGACGTGGAGGCTGAGCAGTACCTGTTCGTGGACAAGGGGGCCGTCAACAACCCCGCGGCGCAGGCCGACTGGAGCGCAAAGCGGCTCGTGTGGGTGCCCTCCGAGAAGCATGGGTTCGAGGCGGCCAGCATCAAAGGTGCTGGAGGAGGGTGGGGTGGGGTGGGTGGGTGGGTGGGGTGGGTAGGTGGGGTGGGTGGGTGGGTGGTGGTGGGTGGGTGATGTGATTGGGGTGGGTGGGGTGGTTGGGGTGGGTGGGTGGATGGGGTTGGTGGGGTGGATGGTGTGAGTGGGGTGAGTGGGGTGGGGTAGGTGGGTTGGGTGGGTGGGGTGGGGTGAGTGGGTGGGGTGGGGTGAGTGGGTGGGGTGAGTGGGTGGGGTGAGTGGGGTTGGTGGGGTGGATGGGGTGGGTGGGGTGGGTAGGTGTTTGGGGTGAGTGGGGTGGGTGGGGTGGGTGAGGTGAGTGGGGTTGGTGGGGTGGAATGGGTGAGTGCGGTGGATGGGGTGAGTGGGGTGGGTGGAGTGGGTGGGGTGGGGTGGGGTAGGTGGGTTGGGTGAGTGATGTGGGTGGGGTGAGTGGGTGGGTGGGGTGGGTGGGGTGGGGTGGGTTGGTGGGGTGAGTGGGGTGGGAGGGGTGGATGGGGTGAGTGGGGTTTGGTGGATGGGGTGGGTGATGGTGAGTGGGATGAGTGGGGTGGGTAGGGTGGGTGGAGTGAGTGGGGTGGGTGGGGTGAGTGGGGTGAGTGGGGTGAGTGGGGTGGGTGGGGTGGGTGGGGTGGGTGGGGTGAGTGGGGTGAGTGGGGTGAGTGGGGTGGGTGGGGGTGGGTGGGGTGAGTGGGGTGGGTGGGGTGGGTGGGGTGGGTGGGGTTTGGTGGATGGGTGGGGGTGGATGGGGTGGGTGGGGTGAGTGGGTAGGGTGGGTGGGTGGGGTGAGTGGGTAGGGTGAGTGGGTAGGGTGGGTGATGAGCCACTTCTTAGACCTGTCATTTCATGATGGTCAGATCTAATAATAGGGGGTTTTCCCCCTTTTTTCAAGCAACAAAACTGAAACTTTTAACCAGGAATCATGTCTGCATTAACCACAATACTTGCGGTCAAAATGCAAACAAAAAACACGCTCTGATAATATTTGCATTGTCCTTGAAACTGATTGGTCCACACCAGAGACAGCTTTCTTTTGTGCCTCGTCTTGAGACGAGACATGAATTCTCGTAAAAAAAAGGTTTCAGTTTTGTTGCGAGAAAAAAAGGGAAAACCCTATTATTATATTTTGGTACTGCCAAAGGAGGTCTAATGATGTAGATGCTCACCCCGAGCCCTCATTACTTTGATAGTGCAGCATTGTCTTTGAGCTGTACGCCTTTTGGCGTCATCTGGTCGAGCACCAATTGAGACGAGGCTCTAAAGAAAGCTGTCCCTTAGTGTGGACCAATCAGGTTCAAGGACAATGCCAATATAGTATCATAGTGTGTTTTTTTTTGCATTTTGACTTCAAGTTTTGTGTTTAATGCAGTAACTTGAATCCTTGTAAAAAAAAAGGTTTCAGTTTTGTTGCGAGAAACAAGGGGAAAACCCCTATTATTAGATCTGACCATCATTAAATGACAGGTCTACGGAGTGGCTCATACATTTAGCAACTCCCACTGATGTTATTTAGATGACTTCGCTTGCTAGAACATTTCCACGGGACAAGCCACTTTGTTGAGCGATGATTTGTGGCCAGGTCGCTTCTGAAAAGTAAATGAATACCGACTCTTTGGTTCTTTAATTTTTTACCAACGTGACTTTACCGAAAAAACCTAAGAATATGAATAAGAAAACCCTATTATAATATTTTGGTACTAGTAAAGGAGGTCTAATGATGAAGATGGTCAGATCGCTTCTTAAAAAAAAAGACCTACAGAGCTAAGTTTGGGGCCTTAACTGATTTTTTTAAAATGCAAAAAAAAAAAGTTTCGTTTGAAAAAAAAATTTCCAGTAAACAAAAATTAACCCGTAAAAACAAAGTTTTCACTATAAATCCTTTATATGCGTGGCATCGGGGCGGCTAGAGTCTTCTCGTCCTCTGGCTTGAGATGGCTGCCACCTATGGGTCAGATGATTGTGTGCCAGCATTAACCAATTGGTAAATAAATATTTTAAAAAATTCCCTAAACAGTGTAAAAATTTGGAAAATAAATTTCACGCAAATGCATTGTCACGCACAACGAGTCTGTGTACAAAATGTCAGCTCGATTGGATCACGGGAAGTGGGTTAAAAAACGACTGAAAGATTTGCACTGTCCTAAGCAAGCAAGCAAGCGAACTTAATATAAAGGATTTAACAAGTATAACCCGTAAAAACAAAGTTTTTCACTCTAAATCATTTATATGCGTGGCGGCTAGAGTCCTCTCGTCCTCTGGCTTGAGATGGCTGCCACCTATGGGTCAGATGATTGTCTGCCAGTATTAAGCAATTGGTAATTAAATATTTAATTTGTTTTCCCTAAACAGTGTAAAATTTTGGAAAAAAAATTTCACGAACATTAATTGTCACGCACAACGAGTCTGTGTGCAAAATGTCAGCTCGATTGGATCACGGAAAGTGGGTTTAAAAAACGACCGAAAGATTTGCACGGTCCTAAGCAAGCAAGCGAGCGAGCGAACTTAACATAAAGGATTTAAAAAAACCAGCCCTCGATCCGGAATCCCGTCCGCCGTCGGAGTAAATCCATTCCTCGTGTTTGCCCCCCGCAGAGGAAAAGGGCGATGAGGTGCTGGTGGAGCTGGTGGAGAGCAGCAAGAAGATCACTGTGAGCCAGGGAGACGTCCAGAAGATGAACCCGCCCAAGTTCTCCAAGGTGGAGGACATGGCGGAGCTCACGTGCCTCAACGAGGCGTCGGTGCTGCACAACCTCAAGGACCGCTACTACTCGGGGCTCATCTACGTGAGTGCAGGCCTCGGACGGCGGCTCTGTGGTGGTGGTGGTGGTTGTAGTGGAGATTGTGGTGGTGGTGGTGATGGTTGAGTTTGTGGCGGTGGTGGTGGTTGTTGTAGTGGAGATTGTGGTGGTGGTGGTTGATGTGAAGATTGTGGTGGCGGTGGTGGTGGTGATGGTTGAGTTTATGGCGGTGGTGGGGCAGTTTGTGGCAGTGGAGGTGGCGGTGGTGGTGGTGGTGGTGGAGGTGTTGATGGTTGAGTTTGTGGTGGGGCAGTTTGTGGCGGTGATGGTGGTTGTTGTGGTAGTGGTTGTTGTTGTGGAGATTGTGGTGGTGGTTGTTGTTGTGGAGATTGTGGTGGTGGTGGTGGTGGTGGTGGAGGTGGTGGTTGAGTTTGTGGCGGTGGTGGGGCAGTTTGTGGTGGTGGTTGTTGTGGTGGTTGAGTTTGTGGTGGGGCAGTTTGTGGTGGTGGTTGTAGTGGATATTGTGATGGTGATGGCAGTGGTTGTTGTAGTGGAGTTTGTGGCGGTGGTTGAGTTTGTGGTGGTTGTGGTGATGATGTTGATGGTAGAAGTGGTTGTGTAGGTAGAGATGGTGGTGGTAGAGGAGGTGGTGTTGGTGGTGCTACAGGAGGTGGTGTTGGTGGAGGTAGAGGAGGTGTTGGTGGCTCAGAGATGTTAACTACCTCGCCTGGTATTCAGGGGGTCGTGGGTTCGATCTCGAACCTGACACCTGCTGTATATTTGAAGTTTGCGTGTCTCTCTCTCATCATCATCACGGTGGCTAGGAGATGTTGACTACCTCGCTTGGTGTACAGGAGGTCGTGGGGTTTGATACCGACCCTAATGCCTGCTGTAGATGTGGAGTTTGCGTCTCTCTCTCTCTCTCTATCTCCTCGTGGTCACGTGGATTTTTCTCCGGGTCCTCCGGGTTTCCCCTCCCACATTTACAATCAACGTCGCGAGTTGGGAGTTGTTTGGCTGCTGTAATTGATCCTCATGGCGGTACCCCGGGGTGCCAAATAATACAAAACTGGCCGAGGCAATTAAATATTTTATTTCTGGGGCACAATTTTATTTCCCAAGGGTGTACATCACTCCGCGACTGGGGTACCACTCAATCCGAAATCGGTGCCACACTCCGCGATATCGAAACGCAGCGAGGACGATTGCACCGAAACCCCTGAACGCTCGCGGTACGTAGCGTAGCGGTGCATCGTAGTGTACAGCTCGTCTTCTTGGTTCCTTCGGTAAAGTCACGTAGAAGGGAAATAATAAAATAATAAAAATAAAACATAATAAAATACAATTCTCACGACGTTTCGGCCACAACGCAAGCAGCCGTCCTCAGGTGAAGAACAGGTCTGTCGGGGAGACAGCGTCTGAAACGTCGTGAGAATTATTTTATTATGTTTTATTTTTATTATTTTATTATTTCCCTTCTACGTGACGACTTTACCGAAAGAACCAAGAAGATGAATCCCTGCAGTCACGAAAGAAGCTTTACATCGAAAGTGTACAGCTCGTCGAGACGATAAATATATTTCATTGACAGCCATATAGTATTTTTAACGTATAATAAATTAAATATGTCTTACTTTTAATGCGACTTCTGGTCACGGGACCCGTGACCCGAGAAATTTTATCTTCAAAAACTAATTCCTGTTTACTTTAAAATGACACACTATTATTAAGCAATATCACAAGTATTTTAAAATCAGTTCCAAACTGATTTTTATTTTTTTTATTATTTTTTTCAACTCAAAATTGTCTGGGAGCCATATGCCGTCACCGGAAGAGCCATATATGGCTCGCGAGCCATAGGTTCCCGACCGCTGTGTTAAACCCACGGGTAAGACCAGCACCACGTGACCTCCACCGCAAGCCCGTGTCCCGAACACGCAGAGCAATACCCCGACACACGAACTCAAGGCCATAATAGGCGAGATTTGTTGACAGAACCCCTCGTACAGCTAACGGAGGGGGAGATAATGTGGGGGTGGGAGGGTTGGAGGGGAAAGAGCGGTGGTGCAGTGGTTAGCGCACTAACGCTCTGAACCCCGCGAGATAACCCCACAACCTGTCAACCCCATCATTGGTCACTCCGTGGCCCTTCTAAATGTCAACGTTAAATTTCGATTTAAAGCTTTCGTGACTGCAGGGATTCATCTTCTTGGTTCTTTCGGTAAAGTCACGTAGAAGGAAAATAATAAAATAATAAAAATAATAATTTATTTCAATTTCGATTTAAATCTTTCGTGACTGCAGGGATTCATCTTTTTGGTTCTTTCGGTAAAGTCACGTAGAAGGGAAATAATAAAATAATAAAAATAATTAATTTTTTATTTCGATTTAAAGCTTTCGTGACTGCAGGGTTTCATCTTCTTGGTTCTTTCGGTAAAGTCACGTAGAAGGGAAGTAATAAAATAATAAAAATGTTGTATTTTTATTATTTCCCTTCTACGTGACTTTACCGAATAATAAAAATGTTTTATTTTCATTATTTTATTATTTCCCTTCTATGTGACTTTACCGAAAGAACCAAGAAGATAAATCTCAACGTTCATCCTACAAAGTCCCATCACAAGGGAGAAACACAAACAAATTGACAATTATTTTTTTTTGCTCGTACTGAAACGGCTGTATGCCATATGGACCTCAAAACAAAAATTTCCCTCTACAAGAATACGGGGTAAACCGTATGGGTTGACAGGTATGGTGTAGTAGTGTATAGTGTATAGTAGTGTAATGTATAGTGTAGTGTATCGTGTAGTGTATAGTAGTGTATAGTGTAGTGTATAGTAGTGTAGTGTATGGTAGTGTAGTGTATAGTGTAGTGTATAGTGTAGTGTATAGTGTAGTATATAGTAGTGTAGTGTATAGTGTAGTGTATAGTGTAGTATATAGTAGTGTATAGTGTAGTGTATAGTAGTGCAGTGTATGGTAGTGTAGTGTATAGTGTAGTGTATAGTGTAGTGTATAGTGGAGTGTTTAGTAGTGTAGTGTATAGTAGTGTAATGTATAGTGTAGTGTATCGTGTAGTGTATAGTAGTGTATAGTGTAGTGTATAGTGTAGTGTATAGTAGTGTAGTGTATAGTAGTATAGTGTATAGTGTACTATATAGTATAGTGTATAGTAGTGTAGTATATAGTGTAGTGTATAGTAGTGTAGTGTATAGTAGTGTAGTGTATAGTGTAGTGTATAGTAGTGTAGTATATAGTGTATAGTGTAGTGTATACTAGTGTAGTGTATAGTGTAGTGTATAGTAGTGTAGTGTATAGTGTAGTGTATAGTAGTGTAGTGTATAGTGTAGTGTATAGTAGTGTAGTGTATAGTGTAGTGTATAGTGTAGTGTATAGTAGTGTAGTGTATAGTAGTGTAGTGTATAGTGTAGTATATAGTAGTATAGTGTATAGTAGTGTAGTGTATAGTGTAGTATATAGTGTAGTGTATAACAAACCTGTAATCCCCCTATCAATGCCCTTACCTTATTCCAGACCGAGTCAGACCTTGTTGGTAACCCCGTGTCCCTAAAAAATCTCAAAGTTCATTCCACAAAGTCCCATCACAGACAGCACACCCAATGTCCCCGTACACGATTATCAGAGCCGATGTCTGGTCACCCCCTGGGTCGACTCAGCCTCAAAATTAGCACTTCATGTGCGGTGCGTATTAAACATCAGCACGGGGGGCGGGGTGGAGGTGGGGGGGACTTCATCATGGGTGCTTGCTAACGGCACTTGCCCCAACATTCTATTGAGGCTACACGGGGGATCTTTGTTTTATCCTCGTGTGTGTGTGTGTGTGTCTGGTCGACTCAGCCACAAATGAGTACCTGGTGCGGTGTGTAGTAAACATCGTCACTGGGGAGACAAAGGCGGCCGGGCGTGGTGCTGGCCACCCACCCCCTCGTGTGCCGTTCCGGCCTTCATAGGTGGTGCTACTCGCTAACAGCACTTGCCCCTACAGTCTGTTAAGGCTACACGGGGGATCTTTGTCTTTGTTGCTTGGAATAACAGTAGGGAGACACCTTGTGTGTCTTTGTGAAACATCTGGTGGCAAGTTGCCCCGCTAGCGAGCAGCGCACAACAACAATGACAACAACAACAACAATGACAACAACAACAACAAGCAGCCGCCACTCGCCGACGAGTGGCGGTTCACGTCACAACGGCGCTCGTGCCAGGCTAGGTGCACGTTGGGGCCACGTGAAGCGTCGAACGCCCGCTGGCAGGAGGAGGTCACGGGGCAGACCCCGCAGGTGCCACGGGTCGCGACTGACTGAGACGAGTGGCCGATGCACCTCCCGTGCCCCCCTACTGTGCCAACTCGCCGTGCTTTATCCACCCGGCGCTCGATGTTGTGAGCGTCGCTCCTCCGCCCTCCGTCGTTGGCTGGAGGTGCGGACTTGATACAGCTGTCGTGCTGTGACGGTTCCACCTGAAGACGGAAGCTTGTGTTGCCTCCGAAACGTCGTGACTTTTATTTTATTTTTATTTTTACTTGATACAGCAATCGTGCTGTGACGGTTCCACCTGAAGACGGAAGCTTGTGTTGCCTCCGAAACGTCGTGACTTTTATTTTATTTTTATTTATTTTTATTGTTTACTTGATACAGCAATCGTGCTGTGACGGTTCCACCTGAAGACGGAAGCTTGTGTTGCCTCCGAAACGTCGTGATTTTTATTTTATTTTTATTTTAATTTTATTAATTTTAATTTTTTTACCTACGTGACTTTACCGAAAAAACCGAAGAATATGAATGTGCGGACTTCCCTCCAACTGACCCAGCAGCAGCAGCATCAGCAGCGTCCTTCACGAGCCTCCTCCTACACAGGAGGGGCGATCTTGACACCGCTGGTACCGCTGATCGGCAAGTCCGCTCAACGCAGGCGCGGCTTGGGAACCCGACGGACGGATTTTCGCACGAATGGGGCAATTTGCTAATCGGCACGAAAAAAAAGAGAGAAAAAAAAACACGTGACAAGTAAAGGGGGTTGGTAAAGAA